CTCCGCAACAAGAGAAGTCACCACAATAAGAAGCCCGTGCACTGCAACGAAGAGTAGCCCCCTCTCCCCTCAGCTAGAGAAAGCCAGCACACGGCAACAAAGACCCAACGCAGCCAAAAATATAAATAAATAAATTTAAAGTATATGGGATGGGAACTTCCCTGGTGGTGCAGTGGTTAAGAATCCGCCTGCCAATGCAGGGGACACAGGTTTGATCCCTGGTCCGGGAAGATCTCACATGCTGCGGAGCAACTAAGCCTGTGCGCCACAACTACTGAGCCTGCACTCTAGAGCCCGTGAGCCACAACTACTGAAGCCCGCATGCCTAGAGCCCATGCTCCACAACAAGAGATGCCACCACAATAAGAAGCACACGCACCACAACAAAGAGTAGCCCCCATGATCGCTGCAACTAGAGAAAGCCCGTGCACAGCAACAAAGACCCAATGCAGCCATAAATGAATAAATGTTCCTTTAAAAAAAAATAAAGTATATGGGATGATGTGTGTAGGTTGTATGCAAATATTATAGGACTTGAGCATCCCCAATTTTGGTATCTGAGGTGGGGGCGTGGCTAGAACCAATCCCCTTCCACCATACCAAGGGACAAATGTATTCCCATTTTTTCAAAAGGCAGAGATCACATAGAGCAGATACTGTGGCACTTAGTTAAACAGCATATCCAACTTGTTGGACTAGCCCATCACAATTTAGAATAGAAATTTACTGGCAGTATGGCTCATAACTTTAGTTGCAATACGGATTATAAACTTACCGTGATATACTATACATATTTGGAAAGGCAGACGTTAAACTCTTCACAAGATTAAAATAGGACATCTATAAAATAAAAGTATTAAGAAACTTGTAAGAATATTTGTGAAAAACTTGTTTATAACACTAGATAAATTAAAACTCCCATAATTTATAATAAAAGTAACCTTTATCTTTTAGTTGTCCATTTAGACTGCAGACTTTAGAAAAAAATAACAAAAAGTTTTCTTTCCTTATTACAAAAGCAATATTCGTCATTACAGAAAATATAAATATAAAAAAGCAGAAAAAAAAACCCATCTATAATCTATCCCTTCCCCCAAAGACTGCTCCATATTCACATCTATCTTTCCAGATCTGAAATTCCCTTCCATTTAGCTAAGAGTGGGCAGAGAATAGTAAGGATTAGTGTGGCTTACACTCTTTTAAAGTCTTAACTTGGTTTAAAACAAAGAATAATCAAGATCCCAAAAGCATCTGCCCAGACAGTGAAAAAGAAAGGATTTCAATGTTAAGGAAGAAATTTACAGTTACACAAACACTGCCTATTTCAAGCCGCTGTTCCTGAATATACCTGGAAATGGTACTTCTTGAAAAGTAATGTCAACAAACAAGCAAGCCCAGCAGCACATTTTGATAATATTGAGAGATCAAGAACAACAAGAGACGACTTCTAAAGGATTCAGAGGTGGTGCCGACAAATAGTTCTGACAATTACTGTGCACAGGAGTGGGGACCCACAGATACAGCAGCTAACTTGAAGAATTCAGGGACACAGGCATTTCAAAAATTACTAATTTACTAATCTGATGTGTGAAGGGCTCTTACAGAACACTTGAAGAAAGTTATCTTGACAAAGGATGGATTTAGCAGTAGAAAAAGAAAACGAAGGTAATAAAGCCTTACAATGTGCTTTCACACTATTTGACTCTCACAACTACTTGTTTTTATACAGCCGGGGAACTTGAAATTCAGAAAAGTCTGAAAAATTGGTAATACGGGTATGTTTACAATATATCAAAAGAAAAAAACACCTACAGCACTGTGTGCATTATGTGATTCCACTAAAAATGTGTACACCCACACAAATAAAATCAGGAAACAGGGTTTAGAAGCATATAAACCAGGCTATTAAAAATAGTTATTTTGGAATAAATAGGATCGTGGGAGTTTTTTGCTTTATTCTTTTAAAATTCATATTTTTTGAATTTTCTTTAGTGAACACACCCTGCTTTAGACATACTAAAATGACAATAAAGGTTGACTTTGCCAGGCAGGCAGGCCAAAGAAGGCGGTCCTGAGTTCTATTTTCACCATAGCATTATATTCATTAAACCAGTAAGGACATTTATGACACCCCAGGCATTAAAATGTCCTAAGGAAAAAAAGTGATAATCCTTTCATTTTACCATTACATGACACTTAACCTACTTTTGTCAGCCTTCATGTGTAAATGATTCACACGAATTTAGGATTTATTATAATGCTTGTTCAATCTGAGACCTAACCTCTAACTTGGGGTGAAGAGTTAAAATTACACAGCTAATACAGAGGGCTCTTAACCACTGGGCAGTGCAACAGCGTAACTTGTTGAAAGCCTGGAAGGTGGATCTTGGCTCAGATCCCAACATTTCCCGGTAGTTACCTTGAGACAGCTTTCTGATATCTACTCACAGAGATGCTAAGATTAATTGAGAGATCATATGTAAAGCTCTTAGCTGTGTACATTTAATATGGTACGTACTCAACCAAGCTGTCTTCTGCTTTAAGAGTACCTTCGGGCGGGCTTCCCTGGTGGCGCAGTGGTTGAGAGCCGATACAGGGGACACGGGTTCGTGGCCCGGTCCGGGAAGATCCCACATGCCGCGGAGCGGCTGGGCCTGTGAACCATGGCCGCTGAGCCTCCGCGTCCGGAGCCTGTGCTCCGCAACGGGAAAGGCCACAACAGTGAGAGGCCCGTGTACCGCAAAAAAAAAAAAAAAAGAGTACCTTCGGGCAATGTTTCCCAAAGTGAGGTTAGAGGTGCTCAGGAGAACAGGAAAGTATTCAAAGGGAGTGGTGTAACCGGAGCCACTTAGTGTGCCACTGCTAGCACGGGCAACAACCATCTCCCAATTCCGATTCTGTGTCTTTCCATCACATATTCTCCCTGAAAGCCAACCTTGCCTCTCATGAAGTTACTTTTTTTAAAAAAGAGAAAATGCTGAGTAAGAAGCAAGACATACTGACAAGTGATTTGGCACAATCATATACACACTGGTTTCTGTCCTATTCCAAGACGTTTGAACACTACCAATGAAGAAGTTGAGAGAACATACAAACATCAGGAAAAGTGGAGCTGTGCTGGGAGAGACAGGCGTGGCTTTATCGTTGTTGCTCTTTGTCCCCAAGGACTATCAGGCCCTAACAGACTTGAACTAGCCACAACACACCCTCCTGAGGCAGACACCAGAAGGCTCATGTATTTACAGTGAAAAATACCACTGACACGAATCAGAAATACACGGTACTGGCATTACCAGAAAGGCTCCTCCTTGTGGTCATTAAGGCAGACATGGAAGACATCCAGCATATTCTCTCCAGGAAAGCACCCTATCTGTGGCTAAGATAATTGTTTAATGGGCATGGAATTGAAAATAAATAAATAAATAAGGAGCATCAAAGAAAAGACGTATCAGTAGCATCAGTGGTGGGTGCATCCACCTCTCCAAATAACATCCTCATCTGTGGTACTGGAACTATTTGAAGGCTGGCTAGGACAGTGCTGAAATGGATCCCAGCAGACTCTCTTTTTCCCATATTCTCTCTTTACTGTCTAATCCATAGACTAGCCCAGCGGCCATTCTCTCTCCAAATGCCTATTTTGGATAAGTTGTGATTATGTATGCATATGTATCCCAAAGTAGACATTTAGAAATACTACATATTTCATATTGGGAAATGGTCTTTGATGGACACGGAAGTGCACCAAATCTGACTGAAACGGAAGAGTCCTAAATTCAAAGAAACGTTAAAAAAAATGAGCCTTGAGGATGAGAGGAGAACACATACAATTACTATGCGACCGGAGAAGTCTCTAAAAGGGCAGTGAGTCCACAGACCTTGCATGGTTATGCTTACCAGTACCAGCCTAGCCTGTGGTACGCCAGGAATTAATCACTACAAAGTGCGCCAAAGGACTCACAGAGCCATAGAAACTTGTCAATACACAGGAGCTAAACTGACCGGAAAGGGAGAAAAATGAGATGGAGTCCAAAGGCAGCAGGGGAGAGCGTCAGGGAGTCACGGTTAGTGCTCAGATTCTGACTCTGCTTCAGGAAGTCATAGGTCGATTTAAAAATCAAGGTTTCTCCACTTGCGACATCCTCAGGCCTCTTCTCCTTCCAGCCCGTCCAGGTGTGCCCTCCCTCCGAAACAGCTACCGCAGGACTGAACTCCGGTCCACTCTAAGCATCAGCCCTGCGTTCTCCACGAGACTTTTCCGCCTATTCCGAGGCTACGCGGACCCTCCGTATCTCTGAGCGCTCAGAGCACCTTTTGCTCTAAAATCCCAATTAAGTTCTGTTGCCCCCGAAGCCCTGGCTGTAACTCGAGAGGGAACACCTGCAGACGCTCTCCATGCTTTACGCATACCCCAGGAGACCACTGGGCCACACCTGCGTTTCCCCGGGACCTGGCTCCTCACCGCCCCTTCCCCATACCCAAGACGCTCCCCTGTCCCCAGGACACAGCTCTGCAGCCCCGCGCGGGGTGCCCACCCCTCGGCTCTGTCCCGTCCTCGGTGCCCCGCCAGCCCTGGGTCGCGTCCCAGCGCAGCCCCGCGGCCCCCGCCCGCCGCTCGTGCAGCTCGCCCTCATTCATTCTGCGGCGCCGCTGTCATTAGTGCGGTGACCTCTGCGCCCAGCTACGGCGCGCGCTTCCCGGCCTCACCTGCGCGCTGGCTGCAGCGGCGGCGGCGGCGGCGGCGGCGCGCAGCCCGGACAGTCCCGCGCGGCCGAGGGAGCCGGGCCCGGGACTCCGCGCCGCCGGCCTCCAGGAGCAGCCGCGCCGCCACCGCCACCAGCACGAGGCCATGGTCTGCGTCTGAAAGTCGCGGCAGAGCTGCAGCCCCGCCTCTGGCCCGGCGGCCCCTCCTGCCGGGACCCGGAGCCGGAAATCCGGCAGCGGAAGAGCTTCTGCCTCGCCAGCCCCGCCCCTTCTCGCTTCTCTCGAGGGCGCTTCCCGCCCCGGAGGAGGAGGGGCGGCCGCAGGGAGCTGAGCGGCGGTGGGGCGGCTGGATCCTCTCGTAACCCCGCCCGGCCGCCCGCCGCTGGCTCGGGAGAAACCAGCTTGATCTTCCTTCTGGGGAGCGGCCTCCCCCGACCCCGCCCAGCCGGTGCCTCCAGTAGTCTCCGCAAAAATGCACCCGTGTTAGACCGGCTGTCATCTAGAAATGCTACAGGGCGCCCGACGAACAATCATGAACTTTCCTTTTGCGTATTTAGGCAGAAGTAGGACGCGAAGCATCGGGTTCCTGTTTTGCTGCCTAATCTGGAGGCTCCAGTTTCCGCGGCTGCTTCTCTTGGGTGTTACCTGCCACGCCGTCGTCTGCTCCTTATGGCGACCTGGCCTTGCAGGAAGTGCCAGCCTTTTGCATCTTTACAGTAACAAGTCAAACCCCGAGCAGGGCTATTGTGAAAGAGAAGTTAGATTAGCCTCGTCTCTCGACTTCTGGACGCTCTCCTCTGAAAACCTTATAGGTATATTGTGGCCTAGTTTGGCAATCTTGCTCACATCTGGATATGTGAGTCCCGCTAGTGGGTGTACTGAGCTGTGCGAAGTTGTTTAATATTTGGTAATGTTGAACCTACTTGTAACCAGCCCAGGGAATACTGGAGAATGGACAGGATTAATGCCCGATAAGGGTTATAAAGACCTTTTACTTAATTCTGTGGCCAGATCTACTCTTCTCATGGTAATGAGAGGGTGTCTTTATAAGAGAAGTCGTGATACAATTAATCATTCAGTACATGCGTACAAACGCACAAAGCCTATCAGAGAAAGTGTAAGCATTGGGGATACAGAAATAGAAGAAACTTAACTCTGTCCTCAAAAAATTCACTCTTATGAGAAAATAGACCAGCAAACAGGCAACTGTGATTCTCTGATATTTTTTCTTGTTCTTCTGACTCATGAATTTTGCATTAAAGAATGCAAGCACCCGTATAGCTGAGCACATTTTTACATTTATCTTCAAAAAATTTTTAACTGAATAAAAGCATATAATAAAGTTTTTTAAAATGTCAGTTTTATTGAGGGGTTTTTTCCCCTAATTTTGAAGAATATTATATAAAAGATGTCAGGTGCTTTACAAATTAAGGTTGTTAATATGCACCTGTGGCTTATCTTGATCTAGGGTTATGTATTAAGAAATATCCACAGGTGGAGTTGGCCAAAATAGAGTGTTGCAGTAAACACTTGTACTTGCAACAATCCCGTGACTTAGAATATTTTCATTTGCCGTGTTTTTATAGGTAGAGAAACAGATATATAGGAATTAAGTGTCTTGCCCAAGCTCACATAGTTGGTAGATAGAGCACTACACAATTCTGTTATGCCATTTTCATTTAGAAATTGTTTACCCAGATTAAAACAATAACCTGGCTCTTAAAAAGATGTAATTCGGCAAAGCTAAGTAGGGGGGAAGGCAGATGAAATTTGTGAAGGCCTCCACCATTATAGTATAGCTAAACTTCCCATGGACAATCACCCACCAACAGGACATGCAGAATACAAAGGAGTTCCTTTGACCCAACTAGGCCAAGCATGAGTCTAGAAAGTTAAAACAATGTCTAAGCTGTGCACGTAATTGCCAAAGAACAGACTCCTCTCATGCACAGTCTAGAAATGGCTTGGGCCTTTTTGACTGCACTTATACAAATGAAACAACTAGTCACACTGATAAAAATGGAATAAGTGTACAGTTGAAACATTTTCAAAGTTATTTTGATATTGGAGAATTGGCTACACTCGAAGACATTTTATTTCCATAATGATGATACTGTTCAAAACATTAGGTAGGACCAGGTTTTACAGCCAAGGAGAGATTACATACAAAATATAACCATATATTGTTTCATAGTACTGCATAGAAACACCTCATCCTGATGTTATTAGATAACTGATAAATGAATTATCAATGTAACTCTGGTAACAACATTGATTGAGGGAAGAGTTGCACTGAAAGGTGAGCAATTTTTGTGCATTTCGTATTCTTAGACCAAACTGAATTCTGAAGACTTGAAATAATACCCTTATTTCTACTACCGATTTCTCTGAAATGTTAAGATAATGGGTTAACATGCGTTCGGAATTTTCTCTGGGGTCGTAGTCTATGACTGATTAGTTCACTAAATGTAACAAGGGTGAGGACTGGGTACCTCTGAAGCAATTAGTCTTTTTTATTCCATGGCCAGTGATCACAGGTGTTAGCTGATCAGCTACCTTGCCAAAATGTGAGTCAATCAGTACAAAAAAATAAGTATTAGTGAAACATTATATACTGCCCATGCTCTACTAAAATTTTAGAGCATCATAAAAGATAATGCATTAATTATATAATTTAGTCTATTTCCACACAGAGGCTCTCCTAAAAGAGAAAATACACTATTGGATCATCTACTCCTAATCATAGTCAGGTTTTCTTGATGGATACTAAAATCTGTGTTTTGGTTGACTACCCATTTGTTCCCCCATGATGCTGCCTTATTCACCATGTACTTAGGGGAAAGTGTAAAGAGCTAAATCTGACCCACATTTGCCTGTTTTTTACTCATATGGAGAAGATATAAGAATTCTCTTGTTTCTATTATAACTGACATTTAGTTCACCTAGGCTTGTGTGGAATAAAAAGGAGTTATTCCAAACAATTGAACAAATTGACATGATGCCACCTTTCTCCACTGATTCAAAATATTGTTTTCATTATATAGGGAATTCTTACATTACTTTGGACTGTTTCTGTGCTTTTTATGGAGTCCCATTGATTTTTGCATCTATTTTGGGGATAGCAATATTTTTAGTTATTTTTACAATTTTTAAAATGATAAGGAAGCTCCCATTTCTGTTATTAAAAAGTGTTTTCTCAGATTTACACTTTCTTTCTTCAAAAAAAAATCCTACTACGATTTTTGACTGGATTTCCATTATGTTTAGTAAATAAATAATTTGGTGACAGTGACATCCTGATAATATCTCTATCCAGAAACATAGGTTTTTGTGTCCCTTGTTTTAGTAATACACCTATCCTCTTCTATTTTTTGTTTTAATTTGTTTGGATTAGGAAAACATTAAGATTTTAAGAATTGTACTTAAAAGTAAACATTTTCTGAGTATCTAAAGCATGCCCAAAGCTCTCTTTTTTTCTCTACAGCTTTTTAAACAAAGTACATGGGCTTTAGTGCATGGACTTCATGAAACATAGTTTATCTCTTTAGAGGCAATTTTTAGAATTCTAGCCCTGTGAACAGGCATGTATCAAATGTTTTGAAGTTTCTGATGGGATTGGAAGCAGTTTTGTACATTTAGTAAAACATCTGTTGCCTGGTTTACAGTTATTTATGTATATATCTGTTTCCTTCAATTAATTATGATTTTTCTGAAGGGCAGAAAGAATGTGATTAAGTGTCAAATATTTTTTTGGTTGGATCTACTGGATTGGCCAGTACTATAATTCTGATACTGTAATGCAGCTCACCTCATTTTATTCATATATTCTTATTTATAAATAAATTGCACATCCCATTGGTCTCCCATAAGTGAAAATCTTTGAAGACAGGGTATGTGTCTTGTTTTAAACTTTTTTCATCTCCCATCTCCTTGGACAGTTTAATATACTGTAATATATGAATATTGAATAGATATGGTTGAAAATAAGTCTTTAAATAACAAAGTATGAACAAAATAGTAGTTTAAGTTGATTTTCTTAAACAACTGTAGGCTTTCTAAGGACTATTAATGCTGTATATGCAACAAATGAGAACATTAAGAAGGGTTGTCTTTTTTTTTATCAGCTGTGTTGCCAATTGATCCTGTTAAAGAAAATTATGTGCGTAAAGTGAAAAACTGTGTTTTTTCAATTGCCTTCCCCACTCCTTTCAAATCAAGAGTACATCTTGTAGCGGTTTCAAAGGTTAGGCTTTACTTTTTCACAACACTTAACTCACTATAACTTTTGTCTAAAAAATTAGTAATATTTTTTTCAGAGTTAAACTGTTAATCTATTGATAAATGATTATCTTTGTGTTTTAAAATTTATAACTTGGAGAATGTCATTCTTAGAAGTCACTTTTTGATACTTATTCCTGGAGCCTAGTACTCAGTTTCATTTTAAAGTTATCTTACAGGAAAACACACTTTTGTGGAAAAAAGGGGTAAATGAGTTAAATTCTTAGAAAGGGGCTCCAATAACAAATTCTAAATTATTCTCTCATGATATAGATGAATTTGGGATAAAAATAGGACATTTACTTTTTTCTAGTTCCTTTATAAAGAATATGTACTAGGAAGAATATTATTTTACCATGCATAATAAGAAAGCCATAACAATTTTGGAACTATCTAATAGACCTAATTTTCCCAAGTAGCATAAATAATCCTAGAAAGTATGGTACATCTCTTCTGAGAAAATATTAATGTAATTTTGGAAGAAGTTTATTCTTTTAATTTTCTTTTTACCAAAAAGTTTATTTTCTCAAAAACTATTAAAGGATTACTTAAGTTTGTAAGAAGATTTTTCTTTTCCTGCCTCAGCAAGTGCTAGAAGATATTTTGGACCTTGATTTATCTGTCTCAGAAACAGATGATTTTATCCAGCTTGTAAGTGGCGAAAAGATAGTACTTGGATCCATTCCATTGGCTCACAGATATGGGGGCCACCAGGTAAGAGTAGCACCAATATCACTTCCTTATGCAAATATAAACAGCTGGTAGAAATGCTATCCTATTGAAGAATTTATTTTGCATTAATTTCTAATATTAGTGTATTGAGACTTCAAGATGTTTCTAAAAGAATGTGTCATATATAGATAAGCTGATGTGATTTCTTGTGCTTTTCTTGTGATTTCTTACATTCAAAAGCTAGGGCGTAAGTTTCTCTAATGGAATTGAGAAAACTGGGGCAGCACAATATAACATTTCTGTGATTATCACTAGAGAATTCATTCAGTGGAGTTTGGCAAGAGATTTAGGCAAAGTCAGGCCGCACAATAAGTCAATATAAAAGCCTCAGAAGGGCAAATAGAATATAATTTTGCCAGGATAGCTGTAGAACATTTTTAGAACTGCTAGAAATTAAGTCAGGATTAATTGGGGATGTTATACATGCTGAAGCAATTAAGAAGGCACCTTCTAGAAATACAGCAAGACGTTGAAGCAAGTTCAATGTGTGGAATCTGATTTAAAAAAAAGGAGAGGAAACACAGAACCAATTGTTGAAATTGCTGTGACTTTCTTGTGAGTTAAAGATTAATTGATTAATTTAAGAGAATAGAGTGATGTTTAACTTAGCAAGTAATTGTTGGCAATAATAATAATTACCATCTTTTGAGCACTTGGGTGTGTTGGACACAGTGCAAGGCATTTTGCGTATATTAACATTCGTTCTTAGAACAATCTGGCAACGGTTTTCCCATTTTACAGAAGTGAAAGGTCAGTCTCAGTGAGATTAAGTTACTCAAACAAATTTCCACAGCTAGTAAGTGGCACAGCTGGGAGCTGAACACCACAAACAAATTTTAACAGAAAAGTTTGGAAACAGTTAATCATGTACATTCAAAAGCAATTTTTTCAGGTACAGTATGCTCCTGATTTTATATTGTATGCGTATAGTATAGGCAAATTTTCTACTAATAAATCATTCCTAGTTCCTATTCTGGAATTAAATAGATCAGTTCTCAGTATTCTACACCTAACAAGCTTGAGCTCAGCTATAAGATGATGAAGAAATTAATTATATGTCTTAAATTTATGTTTTTTAAATGAATTTCAGTTACGTCTTATGGATTGAATTTTATTTTCACCTTTATTCAGGTTGTTGTTATAATCTTAAAAATGCACTATTCCATTTTCAATTTTGACAAAGTAACTTTGATTATAAATTACAATAAAAGCTTTAAAGGTTAATAAACATGAATAATTTTTCCTTTTAGTTTGGGATATGGGCAGATCAGCTCGGGGATGGAAGAGCCCATCTTATTGGAATTTACATGAACAGGTACTGTATGTTTTCTTGAATAACAGCTTTCCTGCTATTATTATAATATTATTATATTATTCTGCTAACACAAATCTGCTAATATTTAGGTTTTTTTTTTTTTTTTAAGGCAGGGTGAAAAGTGGGAGCTCCAATTAAAAGGCTCAGGAAAAACCCCATACTCCCGGTACTTCTTTTTTTTTTATTTTAGTCATCTAAGTAAAAATTGGTGTTATCTTAATTATAACTGAAAATCTTTTTTATCATATTACCCATAGAAATGGCGACGGCAGAGCTGTGCTTCGTTCCTCCATGAGAGAATTTTTGTGTAGTGAGGCTATGTACTATCTCAGAATTCCCACTAGCAGAGCTGCAAGGTAATTCCTCTTCCCTTGAAGCTAAATTTCAAGACCGCATCAGGTTATCTCCAGAAATGTGTCAGTCAAGTGAGCAGATAAACCCCCAATAGCATGATTTCTCATCGTTTCTTATAGTTTTAGTTACTTCTTGATAGCTTGCTAGCAGTTAAGTACAGTATAACTTTGTTTGATTCTCTTACATTTCAGTCTGGTTGTAAGTGATGATGCAGTATGGAGAGATCAGTTCTACAATGGAAACGTTGTGAAAGAACGAGGTAATAACAGTTCTTAGAACACTTACATAAAATTAGACTAAGTTCTTCAGGAACAACAGAAATTGGGCATCTTTGCAGTCTTCTTAAAACATGACCTGGGGATCTTCATGATGTAATTTCAGTGTTATGATAATATAATAGAATATCCTTTCCCACACCCTTACATCACTAATCCATCCTTTTCTAACAACAAACTTCTGGGAAGTTAACCTGGGAAGTTTATGAACAGCCAGCAAAACATTATAAAGCCAGTGCATGAACAATCATATACTTCCTTCCCAGGAGACCCCCTCAGACTTTACCTCAGATCCCGATTGCTCTTACTTCATGTTTACTTCCAATAAGTTCGGTTAACTTTTCCTTCAGCTTTTAGTAGGTCAGAAATAAATTAGAAAGGGGATGAGAAAGTGCCATAGAGCAGTGAAAAAGGAAGAGTGAGAGAAACTTGACTCTGAATCTCTGGAGAGGCAGGAGACCTGAAAATCAATAATAAACATATTTAATTATTTAAAATGTAGAGCTATTGAGAACCGCTGACAGCCCTACTTGCTTTATTGGGCCCCTTGGACATCACTGTGTTACGGGCCAGCGTTTTTACTGCTGTTTATAGTAATTCAACGAGAGAACATTTTATGTTCTTCATGCTTTGAGAAAAATATGTTTTGATAAGGTTTTCATAATAATCCCCCTAGAGTATTCATGTTTAAAGGAATTAAAGGTTATTTATCTTTAAGGCATCTCTCTCTCTCCTCTTTAATATTATCTGGATAAAATGCATACTATTACTGCACATGGGGCTTTAACAGCTATTGAGGTCTTTTTGTTTACGGTGATTGGAAATGAGATTCCGATCACAGACTGTTAATATGATGGGCACAATACTACTTTTATGTCTGTGACGTGTATATTGTTAATGTGAATTTTTTTTTGGCCGCGCCTCATAGCCTGTGGGTTCAATCCCGACCAGGACCTGGTCGGGATTGAACCCAGGCCCTCAGGAGTGAAAGGGCAGAGTCCTAACCACTGGACCACCAGGGAATTCCCTGTTAATCTGAATTTTGAATTAGATGGTTCGGAAACCAAGCTTAATGGTTTCAAATTATCTCAAGTATTTCTCCTTTTTAGGCCGTTCATAGAATTTCCACATCTAAGTCATATACAGATATTTTGATTGTGCTTTTCCCTAATATTTGCCCAGCAGACACTGTAGGAAAAGAGCTGGACACGCAAAAAGAATATGTGAAGCCTCTAGCCGGCTCTGTGGGAATTGATTTGTGACTTTGGGCAAGTCATGTTTTCCCCCTGTTTCTCCAACTAAAATGAGGGGTTAGATGAGATGACACCTTCTATGTCTTTAAGTAATGACATTCAGTGATTCAATGGCTATTCATAAAGTAAACATTCAGAATCATCTATTGAGCTCTTTTTTCCTAAGTGAATGTATTTTTATTGCTAAAAAAAAAAAACACATGAAAATAAATATTCAGATTACTAGCGTGAATGAGTCCTGACTATATGGATAATTTAGTCAACCCAGAAAATACTAATTAGCCCTTTTCTGTGCATACCACTGGACTCATCTCTGGGGGTCCAGGAGTAATAAGTATATACCATGGTCCCTGGTCTTAAGAAACTCAGTCTTCACAGACACTATAGCAATAGTGTCTATAGCAATAGACACTATAGGCTCCATAGCAAATGAATAATAAATAATCTGAGGTTAGGAAAAGGGCAATCCAGTTAGCTTTATGGAGGAAGTGGGAATTGACCTTGAGCACAAGATTAGAAAGTTAGCAAGGATTTCAGTATGGGGAGAAGTGGGGTTGGGGCAGGGAGAAGTGCACAAAGGCCCAGAGGTAGCAGCGAGTATGGTGTTTCATTGAAGGACAGCACCAGCAGAGCAGCAGCTTTGTCATCTGGGATAGACCTCACCTTGACGTGGAAACACGTGTCAGTACAGCATTCCTTATAAGAAAAAAGCGTGAAGTCATTTACTAATTGTATTACTAATGTCTACGATCAGAACGGAAGGCGGAAATAGAAGGCTACAAACAATCATAAAATGCATAGATTCACTGTATTTCTTCATATTCGTAAGTTAGAACATATGCAAATTTTTTTAATTGAAGTTAATTTCCAATTAGTTACACAAATGGAAGTCATGTACAGGGACTGTGCCACAGAAATATTCCACTAATTCTATATTTCAGGGTGAGGTACAGGGAAAAGGTCACAACTGAGGAGACAGTGGGAGCCTAACAGTTTAACCAAGTAGCATCTCACTAGGCTGGGGCCTCAGTATTTCTGAAGGTGTTGTGGTTCCTCACATTCTAACTGATTCAGGCATAAAGAAAGACAGAAAAATCCTTGGCCCTTTCTAGGATGTAAATTAATTGTTTTTCTGATAAATCCAATCACTGTATTCTTTTTTATTAAAGTCATTTCATTTTAAAGAAAAACATATGCTGTGTTTGCGTAGTTTAAAATAGTTTATGCTAAAATAAATGTTTCTTTTCCAGGTGCAGTAGTGCTGCGTGTTGCAAAATCATGGTTTAGAATTGGATCGTTAGAAATTTTGGCTCATTATGGTGAATTGGATTTACTAAGGTTAGAAAACCATTTTTTCCAATGGTAGAAGACAATTGAAAGAAATGCTTATTTATGTGCTGTGAAGTTAAAATATTTTTGGTTTTCTTGTAAGTAAAACCCAAACTTTCAATTAATAGATATTTTCAGCACTTGCTGTGTGCCTAATATCGTGTGGGTTTCTATGAGGCTGAAAAAGAAGGGTTTAGACCCAGTAGACCCTTTTCTCAAGGAATGCTTTTATCTAGTGTGCAACCCAGTTGGAACTGAGGGCCTCTGTGCTACCCAGACACCTGGGTGGAAGTGACTCAAACTCCCCAGTTCTGCAATTCCCTTCCAAGTTCTGGGATTCCCAGGATGCGTCCTCTGTCTCATATGTCTTCTTTCCTGGACTCTGGTTTTGACATGTGTGTGATGCCTGTTTCATAGTGGGTTGACCCAGACATGAAGCTCAGTCCCTTCAACAGAACAAAAGCAAACAAAGAACAGACTGAAATTGCACAAAGCACTTAAGAACAAATCTTACTGGAGATTTCTTCAGGGAAGACAGATGAATCGTTCCTTCAAAAGAGCAAAAGCTCTTCCCCTTGTGTCATGCAGTATATCTTCCATCAAACTCTGATGCCTTGGTGCCTGTGGAATCTGTACTCACAAAGTTTGTCTTCCTCAAGCCAACTTAGCAGGATGTTTCTTCAAACAAAAACATTTACTCCCGACTTCCCTGGTGGCGCAGTAGTTAAGAATCCACCAGCCAATGCAGGGGACACGGGTTTGAACCCTGGTCCAGGAAGATGCCACATGCCGCAGAGCAGCTAAGCCCGTGCGTCACAACTACTGAGCCTGTGCTCTAGAGCCTGCGAGTCACAACTACTGAGCCTGCGTACCACAACTACTGAGGCCCACATGCCTAGAGCCCATGCTCCACAACAAGAGAAGCCACCGCAGTGAGAAGCCTGCACACCACAACAAAGAGCAGCTCCTGCTCACTGCAACTAGAGAAAACTGGCGCTCAGCAACAAAGTCCCAATGCAGCCAAAAATAAATAAATAAAATTTTAAAAATATTTACTCCTTTAAGAGGAATTCTGTTTCCATTTGTTAAGAGCATACAGTTCTAAAAAGCCATTAGAATATATAAGAAAAAAATTCTCTTAGACAAACCAGAATCATTTGGAATATGAATCCTACACTGTAGGTATCAGCTTAGTAAATCCAGATACCTGGTCCACGGAGAGAATGGGGAAAGGGAAGTGAACGCGCAGAGCAGAGGAGTCATCACCATTGTCATGACCGTTCTCTGAGTCTTTTTAGCAAATGTTTACTGAACTCAGGGTCATCCCAGCTTGTTGAGAGAGAGGTCTCCTCTCACTGGGCATTTTCACTTCTCATTTGTTTTTTTGGGTCACTTCTGCTCAGATTCACTATGTCACTGAAATTGTTCTATCTGGTGGTCATAGTTCAGTTATATGTCACTTATCTCTATGACATTTGATGTATATTGGTGAGCACTTTATCCTTAAAATGACTGGACTGGCTAACATGACTATGTATGTATGCCTTTTTGTTTCCCAAGTGCCTGAAACAATTCTCTAATCCACTCTAAACAAACTCACTCCTACTGGACTTTAATAATTCCCAAGTCATATCTACAACCCCCAGTTCTTTTCAGGATTCTCTCTTATCCAATGCAATAAACACTAGTATCAATAGTTACTCGACTCATTAGTCAGTTAAAACAGGGAATTAAACATAGGATACGTATACAACTTAAATATTTTAACTTCAAACCGTGGCCAATTTATTTGACATCTTATTTGTGAAACCTTACATGACCTTCCACACATAAATAATCATTCTCTGCTCTGTTATCTTTATACTTTTTATATATTTCTATTATTGCATGTATTATATGGTGATGTTATTATTCCTTCAGATGTTCTTCTCCCCTAATAGACTGTGTGCTCTTTTATGTCTGGGTTTGGGTCTGTCATTCTTTTTCCCTGCACTTGGAGGTTCTCAATGGATGTTTATTGAATTAATCTGAGTTTGTAACATAATAAGATGGCATCTTAGAAACATATTTCCAGTTGTGACTGGTATTGAGGAACTATTTCTCTATGGCTATTTTGGGAGTAAAATCTTATTTTTTTTTTTTTTTTTGTGGTACGCGGGCCTCTCACTGTTGTGGCCTCTCCCGTTGCGGAGCACAGGCTCCGGACGTGCAGGCTCAGCAGCCACAGCTCACGGGCCCAGCCGCTCCGCGGCATGTGGGATCCTCCTGGACTGGGGCACGAACCTGTGTGCCCTGCATCGGCAGGCGGACTCTCAACCACTGTGCCACCAGGGAAGCCCTTATTTTACTTTTTAAAATTATAAGCATGCATCTAATGAATTCATGAATGTCAGGAGTGGATTGAGATGATTGGATACTCAATACTGTATTCTGAGGAACACTGATGCTATCTCCCCTTTACCTCTAGGATGTTATTAGACTTCATCATACAGGAACACTTCCCCTCAGTAGATGTCAAGGAACCTAACAGATATTTGGTAAGTTTTTTAAAAGAAAGGACAATACTCTGTTTTCTGTCATTGGCCGGCCACCATTAGTGGTTACAACTTAGCACTTAAAAATCTAAAGTTAAAAAAGGAAATGTAGAACATTTTGTTAAAGAAAGAGACAATGAACCACCCTGTAAACAAGACATAGATAAGGAAGTTGTTGTTTGAAAGGTATCTAGAAAAAGAGAACAGGTGCGACTACATCCTGACTATATACATTACTTTTTGAGCAGCATTTGTAACTTGGTCACATACATTGTTTTCTCACATGTTGGATATATAGGTATTTCTATAGTAGTAGTTCTAAAATAAATACATACATAATAGGCAAATGTGATTTTCTATTCTTGTGGAAAGTTTTTGATCTTCATTAACTTTTTCTTTCTTTTAACAGCCACAGAGAAGGAAATGCCTTTATTTTTCTTAGTGACTCATTTCAAAATTTAATAACGCATTTTGCTTACATTTAACTCCCTGTGCTGAATTCTAATGTTTTTCCTTTTCTTATTGTACATGAAGAAAACCTGGTCATAATACTGCCTGAGCCTTGTATATATTATTTCTGGATCAATAACTCTATGTTCTTCCATTGTTTTCTTACACGTACTACTTTCCATCTCGTTGGTCATCTTTTGGCCCACCTTTGAGAACACCTTTTCATGTTGGAAATCGGAAGATCCTAAAAGAACATATGTTACTGAAAAATCTGAAAATTTTCTAAATTTCATTTTAGGATTTTTTTTCTACTGTGGTGTCTGAGACGGTACAGCTTATTGCCTTGTGGATGTCTGTTGGTTTTGCTCATGGTAAGTTATCTACTGACATTTCATGCTTCTGATGAGAAAGTAGAATTAATTTGTTGAAGCAGAAGACTTCTTTTCTGTGTATTTCAAAATATTCCTGCCAATGAGCAGGAATAACATTTATAATATATGAATTTATTTTTAGCAAGAGAGAAACAACTTTCTCATGTTTAAAATGATTTTGAACGGAACAGATACACAAAATAGAATAAGCGTACTCGACCCGTTGATGTTGTTACCTGTAAAGCTTTTTAACCTTGTGAGTATATATTATATTAGGTCTTTTAAAAGCTTTTTAAAAAACCATTAATCATAAAAGCACTACATGCTTATGGTAAAGAATTTAAAATATACAGAAGTGCATGTGAGTTCTGTTCTCCAGGAGAATCATTATTAACCATTTTATCTCAATTCTTCTAGACTTTTCTTCGATGGTATTCATATATCCCCTACAAAAACAGTAGGGCTGGCTTGTGTGTGTCTGAAGCCATTCACTGTGTGGGGTTACACTGGAAGGAATATCTGCCTGAACTAAGAATAACTGTCTTAAAATAAAAGCAAGTCACATATGTACTAAGGTCTCTAGATAAATGCCAAAGGGGGATCCCACATTGTAAAACTTCTTGAAATCTGCTTTAATTACATCCTCGCTGGGTCTCACTGTGGTGGGTAGGGTGGTGAGCAGGGGGGTGTTTCAGAGGTTTTGCTGTTGTGAACTGTGCGGCAGTGACCACCATGCATTTATATCTTTACATTCTCGAAGGTGAGTTTCTGAGGATAAACTCCTGAAAGTGGACTGGCTGGATTCGAGTCTGTATGTGCACTGAACATTTTGATAAGCAGGGTCATCCTGCTCTAAAAAAGGTTGAAACTGTCTACACTGGACACTGTTGCCACCAGGCCCAGCTATCCTATACTGGGCTGGTGTATGCATTCCCTGCCTCTCTCCTGCCTCACACTCCACCCCCATCTATGACCCCCTCCCCCACCTAGGAGGTCACACTCCCTCCTCACCTACTGCTGGTGGTCTGCAGCTAAGGACTGTTATGGGGTACATATCCATATTTTTACCTTTTCCCCCTCTCACAACCTTTGAAAATTAATTAATGTTGTTTCTTTAGTAGTCTCAATTCCATTCCAAATAACATATATTTTTAAATAAATGCTAGAAATTCAGGATAAATGAGAGGAGCTTTCATTTCTTGGACCTTTTGTTCCTGTAGTATTTGACATCTTTGGTTGTGGAGGAAGTATACAACAAAAGGCTAAATTTAATTCTAAAATACAGTTTTAATATATATTAAGCTATTTGACTTCACCAGTTAAACTTTCAATTGATAATTGTTTCATTTCTAAAACAAATGCATTTTCATGACCTTTCCTATTCTGTATAAATTTTATACAGTTAAAAATGCTTTATTATTTTATTGTCATGTTTTGGGCATCTTTTATTGTTGTTGTTTTAGGTGTTTGTAATACTGATAACTTCAGTTTGTTATCCATCACAATTGACTATGGTCCATTTGGTTTTATGGAGGCCTATAATCCAGGTATGTATGATTTATATGTATATTCTGTATTTCACTAAGAAAATTATCACTGGTTTATTTTAGATAAACCATTATAGCTAACTCAGTAGTGGGGTGGTAGAAAGAATTGGGTTCATTCATAAAACGGTCATTTTATGTGCTACTCAATCTTCCAGGTGCCACAGGGATACAGTATTGAGTCCTTTGTGGTCTCTGCCTTCAAAAAATGACATATTAGAGAAGATGACGTGACGGGAGGAAGGGAATGTGTTGTCAGACAGACATGGGTCTGAGTTCTGGCATCTGATCCTTAATCTGTGCCCTTGGATGACTAACTTAACCTCCCGCTTTACTAATCTGTAAAAGGATCAGAGCAGCCTTTGTGGGGGACATGCTATCAAGTTGGAGTTTGAAGTACATGTGTGATAACCTGGAAATCCTTGTAGGTTAGAAATGTATTCCTCTATTAGGCAAATAATCATATTTTAAAAGATTTTCATGTGCATGGGTATTAAGTATTTACATTACTTTGAAGTTAAACGTTTAATGTCAGAAAGATTTTTATCTAATATATATAAATTTATTAAGTTTAAACTTAAAAATGAAGAAAGAGGGACTTCCCTGCCGGTCCAGTGGTTAAAACTCTGCGCTTCCACTGTAAGGGGCATGGGTTTACTCCCTCGTCAGGGAACTAAGATTCCTTATGCCATGTGGCACGGCCAAATAAATAAATAAGTAAATAATTTTTTTTAAAAATGAAGAAACTATCTAATTATCCCCACTGTAAAGCAATAGTATGTTTGCTCTAAACAGATTTTGTACCAAACACATCTGATGATGAAAGAAGATATAAAATAGGAAATCAGGCTAATATTGGAATGTTTAATTTAAACAAGTTGTTACAAGCTCTAAACCCATTACTGGATCCTAGGCAAAAGCAACTGTGAGTAAATCCTAAATCTACTAATTAAATCTGTGTGAAAATATATTTGTATAATGATCATGTTTTGAAAAGCAAGAAACATTTTTAAAACCATACTATTTAATCTTTAATAACAAAGGCTTTCAAACTATATATATGTGTGTATATCTATTTTTTTTGAGGGGGGTACCACTTTGGCTTTTTTCCATAGTTATCAGGATAAAGTGTTTTCCTATTTATTGCTTTTTAGGTTGCTGTGAAATCATGGTTTATTTCTTCTTTGATCCAAGGGTTATTTATCACTGTGTTTCTGAACTCCTAAGTAGCTGGGCTTATTTTGTCCACATTTTTATGATCAAAGAACGTGTTTGGTAAAATCTAGTCAAAATGTGTTACAGTTTCTTTATGGTCCAACATAATAAATTTTTGTACATATTTCATGATCATATAAAAAATGTGCACAAACGTTTTAATATATCAGATTGAGTGTATTGAGTATATTATTCAACTCTTTTATGACTGTTTATTTTTTTATCTATTAGATAAGTTTGATTCATAAGAGATGTGTATTAAAATCTCCCATTTTAATTGTATTTTTAGCAAGCAATTTTTTCTAATTGTTTTGAATTTGTGCAATATGCCGTTATTGGTACATACTGATTTTTTTCTTATATTTCCTTCAGAAAATGTGCCTTTTATCCTAATACAGTGACCCCCTCTATCCTGATTAATACTTCTGGCTCTCAATTTCAACTTATCTGATATTAATATTCATGCTTACTTTTGTTGTATTTGCCTTGAATCTCACTTGATTTTTTTTTATCTTTATCACATTGTTTTAAAGTATGTTTCTTACAAAAGTAAACAAAACATAGCCAGGTTTTAACTCAATGTGATGGTTTCTGATTTAATAGACGTATGTGGGCTTTTCACATCTATTATAATAATTGATTTATTTTATTCCTTCTGTCTTACATTGTGTTTTATTTTACATGTTAGTTTCCCCCTATTCTCCTTACCTTTTTATGATTTGAGGAGCTTATCCATTCCTCTCCAACCCCCAACTTTGATTTGGAAACTACTGCATCCCCCACCCCTCATAGTTATCTTGTTTTTCTGCCACTTTCTCTACTGTTATATGAGAACAAGTTTCCAAATATTTTCCCTCACTAAGCTCCTATTTGCCCGTTGTTTTCCCCTCCATCCCAATGAGACCTTTAGAATGCTTTTGTTTTACCTCTACTTACCCAACTGCTACATTTTGCTAAGATAGTTTAATATTTTGAATTTCAGACTGTTAGTAGGTTTTCCCTTGAAGTATCTCTCTTCTATTTTGAGTCTTCGCCCTTAACACTCCACTCCCCTCCCTGCATTTCTAGTCACTTTACTGCTTACTAACATTGTTTTTATTATTTTTTTTAATTCCGTCTTGAAGTCTCTGCCTTGATTACTTTCTTAAGTATTTGACTCACATGGGGTATATAGGTGATATACTTTCTGAAATCTTACGTAACCATTAATATTTTCATTTTACTCTGATTGAGATGTAGGATATTAGATAAAGTATGGATTCAGTTGCTTGTAACAGAAATCCCAAATAATAGTGGCTTGAACAAGAAGGACATACATTTTTCCCTCACATAAACGTATGGTAATTCATGTTGGTAATTCAGGGCTGGTATGGGGACTCAGTTGTCTGAGTCCCAGACTGCTTTTAGCTTTCTATGCCACCATCCATTGTCTGTGGCCCTCATGGTCTGAGATGGGACCATCTATCACATCCATATTCTAGGTAGGAGCATGGAGAAGCAAAGAGGCAAGTCCTCAATATTGAAGGACACATTTCAGAATTTATACACATCACTTCCCTTATTTCGCCCTGGCCAGGACTTAATCATATAGCCATATACATGTAGTGGCCTTATACTGTATCAACTTAGCTAAACTGGTCGAAAAATGCCCTTCCCTGCTTGGTCACGGGTTAGGTTGGCCACAAGAGAAATTGCCAAGATCTGGAAGGCAGAAGAGAAGCAGCAGTGTTTACACCCAGAGGGCTGGTATAGGGTTGGGCACTACTGCAGCTCACACGCCTTGTCAGGGGCTGCATTTGAGCAGAGGCTTGAAGGAGTAACAGGAGCAGCCACAGAGATATGTGGGGGAAGAGTGCTATAGGCAAGGGAATAGCCTGTGCAAAGGTCCTGAGGCAGGAGTGTGTGTGGGTGTTTAAGGAACAGCATGAAGGCCAGGGTAGCTGTAGCAGAATAAGCAAGGGGAAGAGTCATAGGAGATAAGGTCAGGAAGGTCAGGGGAGTGGAGCTTCAGAGTGTGTTGAGCATCTGTATAATTTAAAATACATTAAGAATGTTAAGAAATAGACAATTTGTTTAAAAATGGGTTTAAGGTTAATAACTCTTTAATTTTTAAATTTTTATGAAGTATTTCACTATTTTCATACATTCAGGCAAATAAAATGTTATTGTATTGGGTGAAGTATCTGTAATGCATTATTTTGGGTCTAAGGTAATTTTTAAAATATGCCAGGGCTTCCCTGGTAGCGCAGTGGTTAAGAATCCGCCTGCCAATGCAGGGGACATGGGTTTGAGCCCTGGTCTGGGAAGATCCCACATGCTGTGAAGCAACTAAGCCCGTGTGCCACAAATACTGAGCCTGCGCTCTAGAGCCCACATGCCACAACGACTGAAGCTCACGCGCCTAGAGCCTATGCTCCGCAATAGATAAGCCACCGCAATGAAAAGCCTGCGCACTGCAACGTAGAGTAGCCCCCGCCTGTCACAACTACAGAAAGCTGGTTTGCAGCAACGAAGACCCAATGCAGCCAAAAATAAATAAGTAAAATAAATAAATTTAAAATAAAATAAAATACACCAAAAAAAGCCATTTATATAACTCTTTTGGTATTATAAAGACATATTAACATTTATCCTATAAGTTAATTGTATATAGTCATATTTCAGGAGTTACCTGATTTGACCTGTACTGTATCCAAATCTTTGAGACAGTAAATTTATATTGACAATTTTCTCTAAGGTATGATATACAATTAAATCACTAAATCAGAATCAGTAGTATGTAATCAAATGCTATTTAATGTATGAGAAGGTTCACTTTGTTCATGTAAAATGTAATTCAAGAATTTTAACATTTAAGCAAGGTTTAACGGTGCTGTCTTTTTTCTCCCTCAGTGCTGCTCAGATTCTTGAGGGGTATCCCATTCTTTATGATACAAGGTTTGTTGTTTGTTTGTTTTAACACATATTAAAGCATCCTGCTTGGTTTGAGGGCAATTCTTAAAATAGTGAGAAATTTAACGACAAATCAAATTGACATTTCTTCTTTTAGATTTAGAGAATTGTTCAAAGCCAAATTGGGATTACTTGGAAAAAGCAAGGGTGATGATGATTTAATTGCATTTCTCTTACATGTGAGTTTATCATTTTATCTCTTTTTCCTGATTAACATTTGAATGACTATTCCGTACATTCTTCAACAATTGATGTTGCTAAATGTAAGTATTTTCATTAGCTCATGGAAAAGACAGAAGCTGACTTTACAATGACATTTCGGCAGCTCAGTGAGATCACTCAAAGCCAGTTACAGGAGCTCAGCATTCCTCAGGTATTAATTTGTGACTTTTGGCTTTTTTCTTAACTCAGTTTTCTTTAACAGATTTGTTGAGGCATAATTTACATACCCTAAAATTCTACTCATTTTAAGTGTACAAGTCAATTATTTTTAAATAACTTACAGATTTGTGCAGTTATTGCCACAATTCAATTTTAGAACAATTCCATCACTCTGAAAAGATCCTTTTTTGCCCATTTGCAGTCAATCCCTTTTTACTACTTCCATCCCCAAGCAACTACTAGTCTACTTTCTGTCTCTTTGCCCTTTCTAGACCTCCCCTGTAAATGGAATCATATGGTATGTGGTCTTTTGTGTCTGGCTTCTTCGCTTAGCATATTTTTGAGGTTCACCCATGTTGTAACCTGTATCAGTGGTTCTTTCCTCTTTATTATTTTTAAGATCTTTTAAGTACGTCTTAAAATATTATTATTTCCTCTTTATTACTTTATTACTCCCTTGTATGGATGGACCACATTTTGTTTATCCAGTTACTAGTTGACAGACATTTGGGTCATTCCCACTTTTTGGCTATTGCGAATAAATACTACTATGAACATTCATGTACTGGTTTTTGTGTGAACATATTTTCATTTCTCTTGGGTAGATACTAGGAGTGGAATTGCTGGATTGTTTAGCAAATTTATGTTTAATTTTTTAAGAAACTGCCAAGCTGTTACCAAAATGGTTCTTCTTAATTCAGTTTTAAGAAAGGTGTTGCCTTTTTTTTCAATACTGATCTGCTACATTTATGGAATAATATGGGTATTAACCAGAAGACTCCCACTTATTATAGATTTTTAGAAACATAGCTCTGTTTATAAGGTGTAAGTCTTTTATATTGCATTGTTTTTATTATTTTTCAGATGAAAATCTAGGCATATTTTTTAAAATTTCAATTTCTTCATTATATTTCATGACTTCTGTGTTAACTAAAAAAATTATTTATATATAAAAACTATTTGTGTATAGTTCTCACAGGTATGTAATTGCCATAAATTACAGTTTTAGGAGTGATTTGAATAAAAGAATGTCTACCTATTCAGCAAGAAATCCAGCAAAATGTTAACCAATAAGCATCTCTGATATAATTTAAAAATTATTAATGAACTATCAGAACTAATTATCATTTAATGTGAGATTTAACATTTAACATTAACTGAGACATAGTAATGTTAAAGTGATTTGAACGAGTTCTTGACAGATGTTAATATTTAAATTACTGAGTGTTGGGAAAATTTGAGGGAGATCATTACACTTTTAATCATTTTAATAGTTAATTTCTGTGTCTTCTGAATTTCAGACCTTTTTAACTCCCTAACTCTTAACTAGAGCTAATAGCTTATTCGTGTTCCCTTAGCCTTTATGTATATTTCTATAACACTTCTAAAATGGCATTGACTTATTTGTTTACACACTTTCCTTTTTAAAAGCAGTAATTATGTCTTATTTTGTTATCCTTCCCAACTAACATAGTTCCTAGCACACAGTTGACATTCCATAAATATACGTTAAATGAATTAATAGATAACTAAATAAAACAGTTACAAATTAAATTTTTTAAGTAAATTATATATTACGTGAGTTTTCCCTGTTTAAAGGAAGGGTTTTGATAATGTAAGTATTCACATGTAATGTCTATTTATAAGAACTATGTATATTTTTTATTTCTCTTAAATCATGCCATTACATGTATCTCCATGAATTAGAATTTGAGTTGAAAGTTATGTAAAGAAAAAGAAAACATTATTCCTTTTTAGTACTACTTCCACTTGAAATAGAGAACCTTAAGAGAAATCTGGATGTTATAAATTATTGTTAAATACATAATTTAAGGGACATGAAGTTAAAATAAAGTGAACAAATATTAATAAGCAGTCTATTACTGTATTTTCTTCTAGCAATTCTGGGCACTGAAAACGATCTCAAAGCACAAACTCTTTCCTGCCTGGGTGTCCCAGTACCTTTTGAGACTGAAGAGGTAAGGTAACCTAATCACTTCTTGAGAAAGCATGTAATGTATTACTTTAGCATCGTCAACCCATCAGGTTCCTCACTTCCTTTCCATTTTTCAACATTCCCTTTTTATTCCCGGGAAGTCTGCTCTGGCTGAGGAGTGTCTGGTAACATCTCACCCACACAGAGAGCACCCTTCTGTTCACCTCAGCTTTGATAATGCCATTCCCCTGTGTCCTGAGCCCAAGTCTCCCAAGCCTTGAAGCTCTGGAGAGAGAGCTCCCCAGGCTTTCATCCAGTGTCTATAAATTGTCACATCTCATACAATCGTCAGAAGTTACTTTGCTTCGTTAACTGTCACAATGAATCGGAAGCAACAAACATGAAAGAGTAAAGAAATTGTAGGTAGTGGTGGCTGAAGGGAGAGACAGGAAAACCACAGGATGCGCAGGAGCAAATAGCCTGTCACAGTTTAATGGCAGCTGAGGGCTATTCATAAAGATGACCCTGAGTAATGAAGAACAAGTTAAATTATTTTCAGAAAACTATGTTTTAAGATAAGGAAAGAGAGGTGCCAGAGAGTTTCGTTTTTTTTTTTTTTTTTTTTTT